TTATCAGGAGTGGGCCCTGTGGCCATTTCCTCTACAATAATGCTTCCTTTTAGGCGTAAGTTTCCGTTATTTAAATACGTGTTTGTTGAATTCCTAGTCAGTCCTTAATGCCTATTTTGAATAAACCAAAACACAGACAAGGATCTATTAGTCTCACAATAAATATATTAGAGAGACCAGGTGGGTGAGGTAATATGTTTTATTGGACCAACTTATGTTGGTGAAAGAGACAAGCTTTCAAGCTACACAGAGTGCTTCTTATTGATTTGCATGGGATTATTGGAAGAGCCCTGAACTGCCCTATAAGGGACACATCTGTCTGAATCTGTTTATAAGAGACAGTCCAATTCTTTGCAGTCCAGAGTGCATTCCTGAGCGATCACCTGAAGGCATGTACTCTGAGCATGACAGAGAGGTGGCAGGGACAAATTTGAGTGATGTTGCGACCCCATCGGCCAGGTTGCAATACCACTCAATTTTGGGGTGGCCAGGCAGGTAACCTGGGCCCCTTCCTTAGCAAATTTTGGTTGCACCCCTCATTCAAACATTGGTGGGGCTGGGCCACTTTCCAGAATATTGGTGGGGCCCAAGCCCCTCGGGGCCCATATAACTCGGTGCCTATGTCCTTGGGTGGGGAAGCTGCAGCATAGTTATGCACCTTACTTCTTGCCACAGATAGTGTCTGATTTGGAAGGTCAGGGAAAGAAAAGAGGAGGAGCCTCCAATAGTGGTCTATGCACTGGTGACTCCTACTTCCTACTCACCATCATCTCCTTTATACCCCAAGGGATGCAGATTGTATTCTGTCTCCTCTCCCTTTGTGGGTTGGGAGCACCATTGCCATCATATCATGCTGTGATTCTCAGCTGGACCCAGCTATCTCAATGCTTAGCCTGCCAGCTGCACAGCCCTCCTGCCCCCTGTTGTCTCCTGTGTTTGAATCTAGCATGATGCTGTGGGGGGTGGGGTGAGATTGTGCCTCATAACTAAGGCTATAATTTAGTCATGGAGGTCACAGAAGTCACGGAATCCATGACTTCCAGCGACCTCCATGACTTCAGCCTGTGGTGGTTGGGAGCTGCAGGGTCCCCCGCAGCCCGCTCCAAGCCGCTGCAGGTGGCGGGGTACTCCGCAGCTCCCAGCCTCTGCAGGTGTCAGGGGAACCCCCAGAGCTGTGGTGGTGGGGGAACTCCCAAGTTCCTGGCTATGCGGGCGGTATGGGCACCCCCCAGCTCCCAGCCACCACGGCTGCAGAGGAAACCCCAAGCTCCCAACCACCACGGGCTCCTGTAGCTGCGGGTGGCGGGGGTACCCTGCAGCTCCCAGCTGACATGTGAGGCAAGGGAACCCCACAGCTCCTGGCTCCCACGGGCAGCAGGGGTACCCCCAGAGCTGCAGGCGGCAGGCATACCCTGCAGCACTCAGGTGTTGCAGGTTGCTCCTAGCTGGTGTGGGGACCCGCAGATCCCCATTTTGTCACAGATATTTTTAGTAAAAGTCACGGACAGGTCACGGCTTCCGTGAATTTTTCTTTTTTGCCCATGACCTGTCCGTGACTTTTGCTAAAAATATCTGTGACAAAATCTTAGCCTTACTCATACCCATTAACACAGCAGCGTGCTAAACTCAAACACAAGAGGCAACAGTGAGCAGCGGGGTCCCGCTCTCCCCTCTCCTAAAACACCCTGCTCCTAGGCCTCCTAACCTCACTATTCTCCAGAGGTGCGGCCCTTGAAGGATATACTAATTTTAATTTCTGTTGGGCCTAGGTTCCCATCAACGAGGACTTAGATCCACAGATCAATGGGATCTGTGTTGTATCGCTCACTGCTTGGATAGTTCAGGGTAAGTGGAGGAGGGAGGCAGTCTAAGCCCTGGTCTACACTAGGAGTTGAGGTCAAATTTAGCAGCGTTAAATCGATTTAACCCTGCACCCGTCCACACGACGAAGCCCTTTTTTTCGACTTAAAGGGCTCTTAAAATCCATTTCCTTACTCCACCCCCGACAAGGGGATTAGCGCTGAAATTGGCCTTGCTGGGTCGAATTTGGGGTACTGTGGATGCAATTAGATGGTATTGGCCTCCGGGAGCTATCCCAGAGTGCTCCATTGTGACCGCTCTGGACAGCACTCTCAACTCAGATGCACTGGCCAGGTAGACAGGAAAAGAACCGCGAACTTTTGAATTTCAATTTCCTGTTTGGCCAGCGTGGCAAGCTGCAGGTGCCCATGCAGAGCTCATCAGCAGAGGTGACCATGATGGAGTCCCAGAATCGCAAAAGAGCTCCAGCATGGACCGAAAGGGAGGTATGGGATCTGATCGCTGTGTGGGGAGAGGAATCCGTGCTATCAGAACTACGTTCCAGTTTTGGAAATGCCAAAACATTTGTCAAAATCTCCCAGGGCATGAAGGACAGAGGCCATAACAGGGACCCGAAGCAGTGCCGCGTGAAACTGAAGGAGCTGAGGCAAGCCTACCAGAAAACCCACCCAAGGCTGCCTCCCGGACCCGCCGGGGGAGAAGGGACCTCTGGTGAGTGTACCTTTTAAAATACTATACATGGTTTAAAAGCAAGCATGTTTAATGATTAATTTGCCCTGGCATTCGTGGCTCTCCTAGATATACTCCCAAAGCCTTTGCAGAAGGTTTCTGGGGAGGGCAGCCTTATTCCACTCACCATGGTAGGACACTTTACCACTCCAGGCCAGTAGCACGTACTCGTGAATCATTGTAGAACAAAGCATTGCAGTGTATGTTTGCTGGCGTTCAAACAACATCCGTTCTTTATCTCTCTGTGTTATCCTCAGGAGAGTGAGATATCATTCATGGTCACCTGGTTGAAATACAGTGCTTTTCTTAAGGGGACATTCAGAGGTGCCCGTTCCTGCTGGGCTGTTTGCCTGTGGCTGAACAGAAGTGTTCCTCACTGTTAGCCATGGGGAGGAGGGAGGAGCTAGCCACGCGCTGGGGGGAGGCAAAATGCGACTTTGGAATGAAAGCACATGTGCTATGTATGTAATGTTAACAGCAAGGTTTACCGTGAAAGAGTGTACCCATTGTTCTATAAAATGTGTCTTTTTAAATACCACTGTCCCTTTTTTTTTTCTCCACCAGCTGCATGTGTTTCAAGGATCACAGGATCTTCTCCTTCCCAGAGGCTAGTGAAGATAAGAAGGCGAAAAAAACACACTTGCGATGAAATGTTCTCTGAGCTCATGCTGTCCTCCCACACTGACAGAGCACAGATGAATGCGTGGAGGCAGACAATGTCAGAGTGCAGGAAAGCACAATATGACCGGGAGGAGAGGTGGCGGGCTGAAAAGAGTAAGTGGCGGGCTGAAGAGAGGGCTGATGCTGAAAGGTGGCGGCAGCGTGATGAGAGGAGGCAGGATTCAATGCTGAGGCTGCTGGAGGATCAAACCAATATGCTCCAGCGTATGGTTCAGCTGCAGGAAAGACATCAGGAGCACAGACCACCGCTACAGCCCCTGTGTAACCAACCGCCCTCCTCCCCAAGTTCCATAGCCTCCTTACCCAGACGCCCAAGAACGCGGTGGGGGGGCCTCTGGCCACCCGGCCACTCCACCCCAGAGGATTGCCCAAGCAACAGAAGGCTGGCATTCAATAAGTTTTAAAGTATTAAACTTTCAAAGTGCTGTGTGGCCTTGTCCTTCCCTCCTCCACCACCCCTCCTGGTGCTTCTCTCCTCCACCACCCCTCCTGGGCTACCTTGGTAGTTATCCCCCTATTTGTGTGATGAATGAATAAAGAATGCATGAATGTGAAGCAACAATGACTTTATTGCCTCTGCAAGCGGTGATCGAAGGAGGGAGGGGAGGGTGCTTAGCTTACAGGAAAGTAGAATGAACTAAGGGGCGGGGGGTTTCATCAAGGAGAAACAAGCATAACTTTCACACCATAGCCTGGCCATTCACGAAACTGCTTTTCAAAGCTTCTCTGATGCGCATCGCGCCCTCCTGTGCTCTTCTAACTGCCCTGGTGTCTGGCTGTGTGTAACCAGCAGCCAGGCGATTTGCCTCAACCTCCCACCCCGTCATAAACGTCTCTCCCTTACTCTCACGGATATTGTGGAGTGCACAGCAAGCAGTAATAACAGTGGGAATACTGGTTTTGCTGAGGTCTAACCGAGTCAGTAAACTGCGCCAGTGTGCTTTTAAATGTCCAAATGCACATTCTACCACCATTCTGCACTTGCTTAGCCTGTAGTTGAACAGCTCCTGACTACTGTTAGGCTGCCTGTGTATGGCTTCATAAGCCATGGCATTAAGGGGTAGGCTGGGTCCCCAAGGATAACTATAGGCATTTCAACATCCCCAACGGTTATTTTCTGGTCTGGGAATAAAGTCCCTTCCTGCAGCTTTTGAAACAGACCAGAGTTCTTGAAGATGCGAGCATCATGTACCTTTCCCGGCCATCCCCCGTTGATGTTGGTGAAACGTCCCTTGTGATCCACCAGTGCTTGCAGCACTATTGAAAAGTACCCCTTGCAGTTTATGTACTCACCGGCTTGGTGCTCCGGTGCCAAGATAGGGATATGGGTTCTGTCTATGGCTCCACCACAGTTAGGGAATCCCACTGCAGCAAAGCCATCCACTATGACCTGCACATTTCCCAGGGTCACTACCCTTGATATCAGCAGATCTATGATTGCGTTGGCTACTTGCATCACAGCAGCCCCCACAATAGATTTGGCCACTCCAAATTGATTCCCAACTGACCGGTAGCTGTCTGGTGTTGCAAGCTTCCACAGGGCTATTGCCACTCGCTTCTGAACTGTGAGGGCTACTCTCATCTTGGTATTCTTGCGCCTCAGGGCAGGGGAAAGCAAGTCACAAAGTTCCATGAAAGTGCCCTTATGCATGCGAAAGTTTCACAACCACTGGGAATCATCCCAGACCCGCAACACTATGCGGTCCCACCAGTCTGTGCTTGTTTCCCAGGCCCAGAATCGGCGTTCCACAGCATGAATCTGCCCCATTAGCACCATGATGCCCACATTGCCAGGGCCCAGGCTTTAAGAGAAGTCTGTGTCCATGTCCTCATCACTCTTGTCACCGCGCTGATGTCGCCTATTCGTCCGGTATCGCTTTGCCAGGTTCTGGTGCTGCATATACTGCTGGATAATGCGTGTGGTGTTTAATGTGCTCCTAATTGCCAAAGTGATCTGAGCGGGCTCCATGTTTGCCATGGTATGGCATCTGCACAGAAAAAAGGCGCGGAATGATTGTCTGCCGTTGCCCTGACGGAGGGAGGGGCGACTGATGACATGGCTTACAGGGTTGGCTTACAGGGAATTAAAATCAACAAAGGGGGTGGCTTTGCGAGAAACTGAATGGCCCCCTCAAGGATAGAACTCAAAACCTCAAGGACAGAACTCAAAACTGGGTTTAGCAGGCCACTGATTTCACAGAGGGAGGGAGGGAGAAGAAAATGAATACAAAACAAATCTGGTCTATTTCTTGTTTTGAGCCACTTCATCTATCTTTATACATGTTGCTGGCAGCAGACTGTGCAGTAAGACCGCTAGCCATCGTAATCTCCTGGGTGCTCGGCAGAAGACGGTGCAGTATGACTACTGGCCATCGTCTTCTGCTAGCTGCAGATTAAAAGACAGTGCACTGCCGGTAGGACTGAATCGCCATGAGATGAAACAAGGGAAATGGCCTGGCTGAGTCACTCCCATGTTTGTCCAGGTGCCCGGTTAAAAGAGCACCCAGGACTACGTTGACGACGGCTACTGGTCATACTGCACTGTCTGCTGCCAAAAGGCAATAAACTGCTGCTGTATAGCAATGCAGTACCACGTCTGCCAGCACCCATGAGACATACGGTGACGGTTAGCTGAGCGGGCTCCATGCTTGCCGTGGTATGGCGTCTGCACAGGTAACTCAAGAAAAAAGGCGCAAAACGATTGTCTGCCCTTGCTTTCACGGAGGGAGGGAGGGAACGGGGGCCTGACGATATGTACCCAGAACCACTCGCGACAATGTTTTAGCCCCATCAGGCACTGGGATTTCTACCCAGAATTCAAATGGGCGGCGGAGACTGCGGGAACTGTGGGATAGCTACCCACAGTGCAATGCTCCGGAAGTTGACAGTTGCCTCGGTACTGTGGACACACTCCACCGACTACATGCACTTAGAGCATTTGTGTGGGGACACACACAATCGACTGTATAAAAACGCTTCCTACAAAACCGACTTCTATAAATTCGACCTAATTTCGTAGTGTAGACATAAGCCCTGAAGCCTCCAGAAAGTTGCACTGTAGGCCAATCCTAGCCTGGCCTCAGAATGAGTCAGTGTAGAGTCAAGATTAGAACTCAGGAGATCTTGACTCTGAAGCACCTGCTCATGCCACTCCTCTTAGCGTGTGTGTTCATAGCCCATCATTATTTGGTTTGTTGAAATATGAATTAAGGTTGGGATTTTCAGAGCCACCTACAGAATACAGACACCTAAATTGTTGCCCTGGATTTGAGGGGTGTGTATAGTCCAAAATTTGGTTAAGCTAATTGGAACCATATTATGTGCATTCTGCCACCCTGAAGTAATGAAATAGAACACCACATAGTGAAGGGTTAATTTGGAGACAGGCTTTTAGAAGCAAGGTCATATCTAGCTGGCAGTTTCTGTTAATCAGAATGGGAGGAGGGGACAGACAAGTAAACAACTGAGACTGAAAACCTTGGTGGTTGGAAAACCTTGAATCTAGAGACTCTGATATTAAAAGTTTATTGAAAGTTAGAAAAGTGATGCTACAGTGGGGGTCCTTATGACCTATGTGTTTTGTAGAAGTTAGGTATAAAAGATTAGCTAATAGAGTGTACTTTGGAGCAATCCTCTGACGACATCTTGCAAGACGTTTTTCCTGACACCCTTTCTCCCTGGTGTGTGAGCAACTGGCCACTGCAAACCCGCTGTTAATTACTCAGTACCATCCCAGATGTTAGGTAAATATCTGGGATGTTCTAAAGCTATTGCTTATGTCTGTGTGTAGTTACATCTAGTAAACTGCAGTGTTAGTAAGAGCACGCTTACTTCCATGAATCTTATCAGATGGAAGTGCTGTGTTCCTGTTGATTAATTTCTTACACTGCCTGGAGTGAAATAGTTAAGTTGCTACTGTTGGGTGTTCTGAAAACCCCAGGTAACAAAATCACATTACATTTTAAGTATTCAAAGTCTTTAGGGAGCATTGAAAATAAACCCTGAACGTTTTGTGGATTCAACTCCCCATTAAAGTCAATGGAAATGAAGGGAGAATAAAACACTGAGGAAAAACACATAATAAAGTAAACCTAGTTCCTTTAAAAAAAAAAAGTTACGACCAGCTTGGTTTTGTGTAGATACTAATGGAGATAAAGCAAGAGAAATAGTCACTTGCATGGTATTTCAAAATAAAGTGAAAGAGAAAAGTCATTAAAAATTAGATTCAGCACATAAGTGTCATGATATAGACCATACTGTAAAATACTAGCAAGAACGCAGAATGGGTGCAGATGGATTGCTAGAGAAAATGAGTGTAAAATGAATGCATTTTAAATGTGCACTATAGTGTGTCCCAGGCTGGCCAAAGGAGTATTTTCATGGACAATCGTAACAGAAGTTTCCCCTTGTCTGGGTAATTTTATTTGAACCTGCCCCAAAGTCACTGCATAGAAAACCATTATAAAATGAAACATAAGAAAAATGGCTTACTTGCCCATTTCTTCCAGAAGACACTGCCCAGATAGCCTGACTCCCTCCAGGAGTCTCACTGAGTCGGTGGGAAGGGTACTGGGTATATACTCCTTGTTTCCCAGCAGTCATTGCTGGAAGCTAGAATAACAACTATGCCTGTCATAAGACTACAGTTTCCAGACTTCTAAATCTCAAAGGCTGGTTGGATGTTCCCAGTAGCCAGCATTGTCTTTTATCACTGAGGTAAGAGTAATCTTCTCAGCCCATCCTGCTAATGGCACTCCATCCATAAAGCCAAGGCTAGCAAAAGAGGTTGGCTTATATAAACCCTATCCTGCTTCCCCAAGATCATTTCTTCTCCCTCAGAGATAGTGTCTCTTTTGCCAGTCATACAGGGATTCTCATAGGCCAGCCTAGAACAGGATGGTATGAGTCCAGTATGGATCCCCTCATAAACCTCAATGGTTGTATATACCCCCTCACATACCTGAATCACACTCACTGACATCCATCTTGTGCTTGCTAGTGAGTGAGCTTACTGGGAGCAATTTCATGAATTGTATGGAAACGATTGGAGAACATCTGCAGAAAAAGAAAATGAGTTTTGAAATCAAAACTGGAAAAGTAATTCTTAGAGTTATTCCCATCGACTCAGAGTACTGAAACTTACCATGTGACCCATGTGCCCTGTCAAAACTGACCAACACAGTTCAGATTATATACTCTGAATATCCACAAGGACCAGCTGACAATTTACAGGCCATGAACCATTGGCAGAAGTGATTTGGCAAATAATGAATAAGGTTGAGAAAACAATCAGCTCCTCTGATAGTTCCTGATAGGAAAACAGGCTACATCGGTTGAATAAATAAACGGCAAAGAAGTCTTTGCTCAATTTTAGGACCAATATTGTAGGGCAGTCGTCCCCAAACTGTGGCCTATAGAGTACTTACTGGGGGCCCAGGAGAGTTAGATTTATTGTAAGTTGCAAAATTCTCCATTAAGATTCATCTTATTGATGTTACCTGCTGTGTTAAGAATAGTTGTGGAGCCCCTCTATACATAACTGTTTTTTTCCTTCACTGAAATACATCTATCTATCTAGTTATTTATCCCACACTCAGAAAGGTATATGAATGCCTATTCACATGCTTATATGGTACACTCACACTTCGTCCCTCCCCCCCACACACCCTTCCCTATCTATCCAGCCCTGGTCTCTTATTGCATTGCTCCCCATCTTCCCCGCTTCCACTCCAGCATCGATACCCTTTTTTCCATTTTTCTCACAGGCATCAATGTGCTTTCTTCAGTGCCTCCCACTTTCTCTGCGGCATCAAACCACTACACCCGCTTTTCAGGTCCTTCCCTAAGAGTCACCCCTTTTCCCCACTACTCACTATATGTGGATCAATAACATATTATATTAACTATTTTTAAAAGACCCTGGGCCAAATACTCAGCTGGCATAAATCAACATGGTTCCATTGATGTTAATGGAGCTATGGAGATTTATATCAGCCAAGGATCTGGTCCCCACTTATTGAAACACCAAGATGTATCCATAACTAAACTGAACAACAATGTTGTTGCTTCTTGCAGCGAGGTGTTTACCCCATCCTCTTCCTACTTCTGATTACCTCCAGTCATAACACATTTAACATGACTAGGGCCCTACCAAATTCACGGCCATGAAAAACGCGTCACAAACCGTGAAATCTGGCCGTTTGTGTGCTTTTACCCTATACTATACCAATTTCAGAGGGGAGACCAGCATTTCTCAAATTGATGGTCCTGATCCAAAAGGGATTTGCAGGGGAGATCGCAAGGTTATTTTTCGGGGGGGGAGGGTCATGGTATTGCCACCCTTACTTCTGAGCTGCCCTCACAGGTGGGCGGCTGGAGAGCGGCACCTGTCAGCCAGGCACCCAGCCCTGAAGGCAGCACCCCATCAGTAGCAGTGCAGAAGTAAGTTTGGCAATACCATAGCATGTCACTCTTCTTGCTGCTGACTTCAGAGCCGGGCAGCTGGAGAGCGGCGGTTGCTGACTGAGGGCCCAGCTCTGCCGGCAGCAGCGCAGAACTAAGGGTGACAACACCATACCAGGCCATCCTCACTTCTGCGCTGCTGCTGGCAGTAGCTCTGCCTTCAGAGCTGGGCTCCCGGCCAGCAGCCGCAGCACACCAGACGCCCAGCTCTGAAGGCAGCACCGCTGCCTGCAGCAGCACAGAAGTAAGGGTCGCAGTACCACAGCCTCCCCTACAGTAACCTTGCGACACCCCCTACAACTCCTTTCTGGGTCAGGACCCAGGACCCCATAAATTACAACACCGTGAAATTTCAGACTTAAATCGCTGAAATCATGAAATTTATGATTTTTAAAATCCTCTGATCGTGAAATTGACCAAAATGGACCATGAATTTGGTAGGGCCCTAAACATGCTCTTTCCGTCTGCACTGTAAGTCACACAGCACACTTTTGGGTGCTGTAAAATCACAACTAATTATTTTTAGAGTAAATACCATAGGCCAAGGGTTCTCAAACATTTCACAGCATGGGCTACATTTTAACAGACAGATGGACTGTCATGGGTCATTCACAATGGCATGGCTCTCCCTTTCATGCCCATTTACATTTGCCCTGTGGTAACTACAGCAACTGTCTACATATACGTGGGAAGGTAAAATTGGCTAGATATTCAATGGTTTTTTGTCTGTCTTTTACAGTGCAGTAGGAAGAAGGAGTCAGCACCATGTGACTAGTTAGCTCTCCTTGGGCTCCAAGGAAGTGCTCTGTGGACCACAGTCTGATAACAGCAGTAACAACAGAAGAGTGTTTCTGTTTCACTGACTGCATTGAGCCCTGCTATTATCATTTAAAATTAGGCTAAGTCAAAAGCATAAGATTCAAAAGCTGCTTGCAGCCAGACCACCTCTGAGTGTGATCTTATCAGAGCACCCACGCTGCGGAGTTGGGGTTGGTCTGTACTAGGATGGGAGAAGACTAAGAAAAACCGAGGGTACAGAAGAAGTGGTAATGGTGGTACACTGAGAGGCACTCTTCCATCTGAGTCAGCACTGATGCTATGCCCCGGTATAGTTTTAGGAGAAAAGCATTGTTGACGGCGCTGGTTTTAGGATAAGATGGAAAACTGCTGCTGTCCACTTGCGGTCAGGAAAGATCCCACACACTTTTCACAAGCATGGAGTGTTAGCTATGTGTGTATGCAATTTGGATAATTATGTTCTGCCTACCTCAGGTGACTTCTGCAGTTTCAGTTCAGGTGAGACTACAGGTGGTGCCTTCTGGCCTCAGAATCTCTGGATTGGATAGAATACATGGACCTTATTCTCGTTTCTCATCTCATTAAGCATAGGTAGAAGTCAGGACTAATTCTAGTAAGTCAGCGGAGTTACACCAGTGTAAAACTAATATAAATGAGAGGAGAATTGGACCCTGTTATTTCCACTTATGGTGTCAAACTAGTACAATGTTTCCCAACAGTGGGTCCTGACCCACCAGTGGGTTGCAGGAAGGTTCTCGGTGGGTCGCACATGCCCCAGGGGCACTCTCACTTTCACATGGCAGCAGCATGGGGAGCAGGATCTGGTCAGCGGCAGCAGTGTGGAGGAAGCAGTTGGCGCCAGCGAGCAGACAATCAGGGGCCAGTCCCTGTCCAGCCTGTGCTCCAGAACTGCTCCCCTCCACTAGGGCTGGACTAACTTTTTGTGGGCCCCCCTGGGGAATGATTGTAAAAGGGGCCAGGGGCAAAAGCACAGTGGGGTGGGAGCTAGGGTGGTCCCTGAAGCAAGGGAGGGGCCATGGGTAAACTGCAAGTGCAGCAGGGCTGGGGATGGCGTAAACAGGATCCCCACCCACCGCCCCTGCCCACATAGAGTGGGTACCTACCTGGTTCTAGCCCATTCTCTTCATCTCTCTCTGCACTAAGCTGCCCCTCCTCCCGCTGCAGCAGGACAGGGTCTCTTCCAGCCCTCTGGAGTGGGTGTTGGGAGCGGGAGGAGCGGAGGCTAATCTGGTTACTCCTATAACCAGACTTTCAGTTTCCAGTCAGCACTGCTAACCGGACACTCACTGGAGTTTCCAGTCTAAAACTGGATACCTGGCAACAGGGCTGCCAGAAATGCCTGAGGGGGGAGACGCAAGCAATCATTTTTAAGCAGGGGGTGGGGGGAAAGCAAGTGGGGGGTGGGCTAGGGAGTGGAGAGGAGCTAATGGGCAGGGCCATGTCTGCTGTACTGCTACCCAGGTAGGTTGGAGACTGGGGGGGATCAGTCGACACATATCCCCAGCCCAGGTGACATGACAGCCAGTGGTGGATTTAGAGTTAGTGGGGCCCCCCGGCCCTGTGCTCAGCTTTATTTTTGGGGCCCCTCCTTGGGACCCACCCAAGAAAAAGAACATTCTCTCTAATCTCCCTCCACCCCCGTTTTTCATTCTTTTTTTCTTCATCCTCCTCCTATAAGTAATACTAAGTAAATGAAAATAAAGTGAGGTACCTTGATTGTTCTTGTAGTCTAACTTATTTTTCCACAGACCACTTGAAAATCGTGGAGGGTCTCGGTGGACCGCTTAATGATCTTTCCAAATATTGTTTGTACCGTTAGCTACCTACTGTAAAGTGCTTTGGATAAGAGTGCTTTATTTAAAAAATGTAAAAACACGTTGGGGTGGGGGGTCTGGCGAGCAGCTAGGGTGAGGAAGGGGGCTCAGGGCTGGGGCAGGAGGTTGGGGTTTGGAGCGTTTACTTGGGGAAGCTCCTATGTGGTGCAAGGGGTGAGGTAGGAATTGGGGGGAGGAGTGCAGGGGCTCCCATTTGGTGCTCAGGGTGGGGTGGGAATGTGTGTGGGGGGGTGCAGGAGTCAGAGCATGGGGTGTGATGGGGGGGCTGGGTATGTGTGGGGGTGCAGGAGTCAGGGCTGCGGGTGTGTGCAGAGGTTGGGGCAGGGGGCTGGGTGTGTGTGTGGGGGGTGCAGGAGTCAGGGCAGGGGGCTGGGTGTGTGTGTGTGGGATTCAGGAGTCGGGCAGGGGGCTGGGAAGGTGTGAGGGGGTGCAGGGGGAAGGGCAGGGGGCTGGAGAGGTGTGAGGGGGGTGCAGAGGTCAGGGCACGGGTCCGGGGGTGTGGGCTGAGGTCATGGGGGTGTTCACAGCATGGGACTGGAGGGGGTAGCCCTAATACCAGCCCCTTCCCCAAAGTCCCACCCCTGCCTCTTCTCCTCCTCCTGCCCGGAGCAGCAAGCATGCTGAGGCTCCGCTCTTCCCCCTCCCTCCTGCTGGCAAACAGCTGATCGGTGGCAGGGAGAGGGGGAGGGGTGGGAACGTAGCACCCTGGGGGAAGAGGCCGGGGAGGGGGGGGAGCTTGGCTGCCGACGGAGCCTGCTCTGCTGCAGCAGGAGCCCCAGGAGCCGGCAGCATCAAGCTTCTGCCCCCACAGGAGGGAGCGGGGAGACAGAGAGGAGCGGGCCAGGCTGGGGCCCCTTTGGACTGTAGGCCCGGCGCCATGGCAAATCCGGTACTGCCCTCCACTGCGTTCTCACTTCTCCAGGGCAACAGCAGCAGCACTAGCAGCAGTGCAGAGGAAGTGGCTGGAGCCAGTGAATGGGCAGCCTGTTAGTAATCACAGCCCAACCACAGGCAGAAAGGGACTAGCTGGGGCAAGACTAGGAGCACAAGAGCAAGGAGGGTGGGAGTTTTGGGGGCTGGGCCAGGCTGGGGATAAAGAAGCAGGGGCTTGGAGCACGGTGGAGTGGGGGTTTGGAGGGCTGAAAAGGAGAGGCAGAAGATAAGGGTAATGGTGGTATGATGCTGGCAGCCCAGCTGGTGCTTATAACATCTGTATCCCATATTGTAAGGTATTTGAGCAGCCGTATTGTGAGCCTCTGAGACTGTGTAAATCAGCAGAAAGAAGAGAGACATTACTGTGAAGTGCTGATCTCTAACAGAAGGTGTTATGACCTTCCCAACAGCAAAGATCCATCAATACCAGACGGGCTATTGTGGGATGTTAAAGAGGATAAAAGACATTTGTTGTTCTGCTCTTCCTCCCCCACTCCATGAAGATGAGTTATGCAAGTAGATTCCTCCCATTAGTTGAGCTTGCAGCTCAGAGCACATGGCAGGAAGGTGATAAAAACCTCTAGCAAGAAGGAACTGGTTATTTCTACACAGCTTGGACTCTGGAGGGCAAGGGTTTTCTAGGTATAAGCAAGAGATTCCCAGCTGCTTAGCCTGTGTTAGCCCGAAAAGACATATAGAGCTTGTTTATTATAGAAGCTATTACCTTTTGAAATTTAAGTTTGTAACTCATTTGTGTATATTTGATTACCTGCTTTAATCTTGTAAATAACTCTCTTGATTCCTTTTTCTACTTAATAAATCTACATATAGTTTACTATAAGATTGGCTACACACGTCATTTCTGCTGTGAGATCTAAGGTGCATTTGACCTGGTGTAAAATGATTGATCCTTTGGGATTGGGAGTAACATGAATATTGCGATTCTTGGCATAAGGGACTATCTGTCACAAACGTGTGCTCACCAGAGTGGCAAGAAAGATCAGAGTACCCCAGGGTATGTCTGTGACTCCATGTTTAGGCTGTTATAAAGGTATAACTGCAAGGTACAGTTATTGTAGATATTCTTTATTTTGCTTTGTTTAACAACAGCTATATTTCTTTTTAATTTGCCATTTGTGCCTCCTAGGGTAGCAGGATCAATGATGTATGTTCACTGCTGGCACTAGGCACCAGCTGGAGACAGACCACCAGCCACATGCAGGCTAGGTGTCTGTCCCTTTGGTCAGGCATCTGTTTATAGTTTTACAAAGAAAGAAAGAAAGAAAAGTGCACAAAAAGCAACACAAACAATCTGGTTAGGGGTTCACGCTGGGTTCCTCTGGTAGCTACCAGATAGGGCTATTTCCGATATTGAGGGTCTGCCTGCCTGCTTGCAGCCTCCTGCTCTGGTTCCCAGAGAGTATCCTCTCTCCTGGTTCCCATCTGCTCCACCTTCATGGAGCTGAGTTCTCCTTTGTATTGTCTAGCTGAAAGTGTGGGCCAATCACAAGGTGCTGATTAGCTGATTCCCAGCACCTGTCTGCTGGGCTTCTCTTTGGGCAGGATCGGCTGCTTCCTGTCCCCACCCCCAGTCTATTAAAGGGGCAAATGGCTCTGTTAAAGTTTTATTCTACATCAAGCAGGTATACGTAAAAGATTATTCACTACAGATTTACATTTAGAATCATAGAATATCAGGGTTGGAAGGGACCTCAGGAGGTCATCTAGTCCAACCCCCTGCTCAAAGCAGGACCAATCCCCAACTAAATCATCCCAGCCAGGGCTTTGTCAAGCCTGACCTTAAAAACTTCTAACGAAGGGGATTCCACCACCTCCCTAGGTAACGCATTCCAGTGTTTCACCACACTCCTAATGAAAATGTTTTTCCTAATACCCAACCTAAACCTCCCCCACTGGAACTTGAGACCATTACTCCTCCTTCTGTCATCTGCTACCACTGAAAACAGTCTAGATCCATCCTCTTTGGCACCCCCTTTCAGGTAGTTGAAAGCAGCTATAAAATCCCCCCTCAGTCTCCTCTTTCACAGACTAAACAATACCAGTTCCCTCAGCCTCTCCTCATAAGTCATGTGTTACAGTCCCTAATCATTTTTGTTGCCCTCAGCTGGACTCTTACCAATTTTTCCACATCCTTCTTGTAGTGTGGGGCCCAAAACCGACACAGTACTCCAGATGAGGCCTCACCAATGTCAAATAGAGGGAAACGATCATGTCCTTCGATCTGCTGGCAATGCCCCTATTTATACATCCCAAAATGCCATTGACCTTCTTGGCAACAAGGGCACACTGTTGACTCATATCCAGCTTCTCGTCCACTGTAACCCCTAGGTCCTTTTCTACAGAACTGCTGCCTAGCCATTCAGTCCCTAGTCTGTAGCGGTGCATGGGATTCTTCCGTTCTAAGTGCAGAACTCTGCACTTGTCCTGGTTGAACCTCATCAGATTTCTTTTGGCCCAATCCCCTAATTTGTCTAGGGCCCTCTGTATCCTATCCCTACCCTCCAGCGTATCTACCTTTCCTCCCAGTTTAGTGTCATCTGCAAACTTGCTGAGGATGCAATCCACACAATCCTCCAGATCATTAATGAAGATATTGAACAAAACCGGACGAGGACCGACCCTTGGGGCACTCCGCTTGATACCGGCTGCCAACTAGACATGGAGCCATTGATCACTACCCGTTGAGCCCGACAATCTAGCCAGCTTTC